AGTTCTCTGGCCTGGTGCTGCTGCAGCCTGGGGTGGCTCTCTGGCAATGGAATAAAACATTTCACAGCTGCTGGAGTGGGGTTTTCACAGTCCTGCTTTGAAAAGCAATCAGATGTGGGCAAACAGCTCAGGTCAGAGGGTGTCCTGAGTGGCCACGTGGCCAGGCTGTCCCCAGGGAGCTGTGCCCTGTTTGTGCTGCTCCTGACTCCACCAGGGCAGCTCCTTGCATTGCCAAACAAAGGCTGCAGAGTGCAGAGAAGCTCTGGTGTGARGCTGTGCCTGAAAAGCCTTCTGCAATGGGCTGTGAGCTCAGAATCCCCCCGGGAATGTTCCTGCGTAGGCAAACAAAAGGGAGTGCAGAGGTGACAGAGTGGAAAGGTGATTCTGGGCAAATGCTAGTGAATCCTTTTGCCTGCTATTTGTCAAGCTCTAAAAATAGCAGCAGCCTGGGTGAAGCCTCTGTGAGGCTGGGGTGGGCAGGCAGGGCACACAAACGCCTGGCTCTGGAATCCCCTGCCCTTGGCTGCAGTGTTTAAAGCCTCTTCATTCCCAGGTTTTCAGCACYCTGTTAAATTTTATGTCAGGTCCTTGAATAAAAGTCATGAAATCCCTGCCCAGGGTGGCAAATAGGAAGGGAATCCTCTCTCTGGAGGTGCAGGACAGCTTGCAGGAATGWTTTGGTGATGAGAATATGCCCCAGCTCATCTCTGCACAGACCTTTTCTGGTCTCCTTTCCTTGTTTTYACATGYTCCATTTGCAAGTKAYCCAGGGTAAGATTTTCCAGCTCTGGATATGACTCCAGGGTGGGATTTGGATATCCTTTAGGGTGCTGAATAGCACAGRGCAAGGAAGGAGGGGTGGCAGATGGGTGCTGGAGAAGGCCTGGTGGGCACAGATTGCAGYGGGTGATGGAGATGCCACCTGGGTGGGGCTGCCAGGGAAGGGCAGGTTTTCCTGCCTGACTTCTCAGGGCTCCTTTCCTTGTTTTTACATGCTCCATTTGTGTGTCTAGGGCTCACACACCGTTCCTCTAGGGCTCACACACCATTCCTGGGTGCTGCCTGTCCTCAGGAAGAATTTGCTGTTACTCAGCTCACTATTTGACCCTTGTTCTGAGCAGGGAGAGGGAATGGCTCTGCAGGGATCAGCCCCAGRAAAGCCCTGCTTTGTCTCTGGGAGCTGTGCTGCTCTTCTCCCTTCCCGTGGGCARTTTTTGATGTGTGCTGCCTCTCCCCTGTGCTCTCTCAGGTACCACGTCCACAGCAAGCTGGTGAGCTTCATGGCACCTATTGACCACTGCACCATGAATGATGATGCCAGGTRAGTAAGAGATTAATTAATGGCTCAAATGGCTCCATGACAGCGTGGTATTGACCTGTTCTTCAGCCTGTCACCCTCTCCATTCCCCCTTATCAGTTCCCCATTTGTCACTGGCATCGTGGCCTGGGTGTCTCGGTCACATCTGTCCTGGCAGCCTGGCTGAGCTTTCACTCTCTAATTACTGTGACTCCACACCAGAAGTTGTCATAAATCTCAGCACCTACTTTTGATTCCTGCTTTAGAGCTCCTCTGATTTTGAAATTTCCCAGTTTTTTTGGAATTAGTTTGGAAATACACAGCTCAGCTACCTGGTATCTTCAGGTGTGATCAGAACTTAAAAAGAACCTGTCTTCTAACACAAATGGCAGCTTCTAAATTCTGGTTAATATGCATTTTCTTAGCTCAGTTAATAACTGGAATAGTTCTCTCAATACTCACTCCAGATTTTTATGTTGCTTGTGTTTATCTCTATTTAAAGAGTCAGGAATTTTATTGGCAGACTATAATGTTTTAATGTGGTAATTAGTAAAGCAAACACCAGTGAAGTTTTGTGCACGATTACCAGACAGCTCTCCCACATACCCACCCRTATTTTTTCAGCAATTCACTTGAAACCCAAATCTCCAAATGCTGAGCTGTTTGTGGGAAGGAGGTGGAATAATTTTCCAGTGAATGGATGTGGAAAGCTTGAGAAACACCTTCCCCTGGGTTGTGGAACATGTTTGTGCTTTGTGAGGGAGAGATGTCATTTGTCTGTTTGTGAAATGGAAACCAAATACCTGCTGCTCTTTTGCTGCTGCCTTTTGGGGKATTGCAGGACTTGTGGATGAGAAGTGAGATGTTTTGTGTCCATAGGACCTGYGCTGTTTCATCAGTGCATCTTTCTCAGACTTCCTATACTCTGCTTTTTTTCTCTCCTTTTTTTTTCGAGTGAGAACAAAGCCCAGCTGCTCTGATTTCTCAGTATTATTCTGATCCTCTCACCACAAAAATAAATGTGCTGGGGTCAAAGCTGTGCAGTCCTAATGTTTAGCTTAAATTTCSCTCTGCTGCAATTTAGGACCATAATTCCTTGTCCTGTTCCAGGTGGGATCAGATTTTTGCTTCCTCTTCGCAGCAGCCCTTGCACATTTGGGGGGAGTTCTTGTGAGAAGCTTTGTGTTCCTTTCTGCCTTCCTCCCCAGTTTGTGTTTGCATCCAGACATGAATCACACTCAAATACTGCAGTGAAGATCAGTCCTCTGTGGTGTTTTGGTTCAGCTCTCCCCAAATAAAGAGATCTGCTGCTATCAATCATTTATTTGAAAATCAGAGCCACTCTCTAGGGGTCTGTTTAAAATCCCTGTTTTAAATCTCTGTTTAAAATCTGTTTAAAAACCCCCTGCCCTTGGCATGAGCCACAAGGCCTCTGTCCAGCACACAGCTGGGCCACACAGGGCACGAAGAATTCAACATCTGCAGGTGAATTAAAAAGAAAAAAGCCAGACCTGTGTGCATGAGAGGGAAGCARCAATGATAACAGCTTCCCTTTGTGGCAGAAGCAGGTAATTTTATTGTTTGCAAGTGTGAATTACTGGATTGAAAATGCACATATACACTTCACAGAGATGTGATTGTGCTCTGAGCCAGGCTTGTTTTATTTTCTGTAAAAGTACACCTCTGAACAACAGGGCACTGTTGTAGTGGGAGAGATTTCACAGTGCCAGTGAGATGGGTATGAAATGGGTGTGGAAAGAGCTGGCAGAGCATCCCCTGGAATTCTACCAGTGGCTACAGGGGCAGGTACACACCAGGAAATGCCAGTGAATAAATGAATAACTGTGTGGGCAGATGTGGGTGGGCTTGGGGRTGCTGCAGAGCCCAGGGAGTGAGAGCTGCTGTGCTTCTGGCCCTTYCTTGGCAGTGCCAGTGTGGGCAAACAGAAAGGAAAGGAATCCACGTGAGGAGAAGCAGCATGAGCAGTGCCAGGAGAAGGAAACCACTGCAGATCTCACAGAGATCTGAGTTCAGAGGAGAATCACACGAGTCACAGCTGCCTTTGTCAGCATCTCTGCCACCTTCTGCCTCCCTTGGAACAGCAGCACAGCTCATCCTCCCCTGGCCASTGCTCCAGGCAGTGAGCAAGGCTCTGCAACCTTCTGCTCACAGATTTTATCTTCTCATGTGGGGCACTGGTGGCCTCCAGCCCTCTGGTTTGACCCCTCTCTGGCAGTATTTTAAAAAGTGATTTTTATGGTCATCTTGGGGTCTGTGTTTATAGACTTTAACACATTTATTATCCTTTTGGGCCAAGGGGTTTCTGCTGGGTCCAAGGTCATTGCTGTGTGAATGGTCTGCCTTGGACAAGGAAACCAAAAGCAGAGTTTGGAGTGTGGTCTGGGGGTGTCCAGAGCAGAGTGGAGCTGTCTGGGACAGGACAGGTTTGGTTGTGATTTCTCCTGGGTTTGAGGGTGCYATCAGGAGCTTTCCCCTTTCTGGACTGAAACAGCTCAGCTGTGGCAAGGTTAAATTGCTCCTGACTCCACCAGGGCAGCTCCTTGCCTGAGTGTCTGTCCCTGCTGGGCCATTTTCCACTTGGRAATTGGAAATTTCCACATTTTCCACAGATCCACTTGGATTTTGCTTCATCCCATTCCTTTTGCTGYTGCCATTCCTGGGMGGATGAGGGAACCCCCTGACCCCAAAACATGTCTGCACTGGGAAGAGCTGTGTGTGGATTTGGGGTTTATTCTCTCTGTCTGTCAGCTGAGATGTGTAAATCCTCAGATCTGTGTGTGTGAGAGGAGCAGAGATTGAACACAGACATTGGGCTGATGGCAAATCACTGCAAAGTTTGATGAACATCTCCATTTCACCTCTGGAGGACAGCAACTTGCAGCAAGAGGCATCCTTTAAGGACACAGATGTTTGGWCCAAACACCTTTATCTGCCAGGACAACTCAGGTTATTCTGACAGGTGAAACAAGATTGTGCAAATATGCAACAGTGATCTAATCAGCTGGAACAACAGCAATATTTTAACTGGTGCTACCTTTTAACAGCATCATTAAGGGCTCTCATTACTCTTTTATTAGAGGCTCACTCAATTTCTTATCAGATTACAGAATGAACATAACTCATGGCACTGATTTGATCTCTTGTTAAAGAGGATTACAGCTTTGCATTAGCTGGGATTGACATGGTTTATAATTTGCTGTTGATACCCAGGCTGGCGGTGTCACACGTGTGACCCCCTCCCCACGCCCCCCGAGAGGAAGGACACCCATAAATCATCATTAAATGGGGCACCCCGTGYTCAGCAGCAGCCAAAAGGAGCCTGTGCTGCAGGAAAGTCAGGCAGGACACGAGGGACACGCTGGAATTCCAGTGGGGGTTCTGGGGGAACGTGGAGGAATGGATCCCATTTTATTTAAATGTGCTGSTTTATGCCTCAGCAAATGGATCCTCATTAGGGAGGAGGAATTTGCATCCTTTGTGAGCCAAATCAGAGGGAGARGATGGCTCTGATGGGACTGTCAAACCATGCAGGGTCACCACAAGGTGAGGTGGGAATCACTTCCCAAACCCCACATCCCAGTGCAGSAATGACACCCCTGACTCTGGGATGGTCCCAGATCCTGTGCTGCTCCTGCACGAGCAGAGTGGGRCCTGCTGGGAGTTAACACCCAGATTATCCAGCTGCCAGGGAGTTTGGGATTAGAGCCTTTCCCTTGGATCCAGCCTGGCCTGCTGCATTTTCCCAATCAGCATTCTCCCTTCAGTGCAGTTGCTTTGTCACAGCGTGTCTCGCTGCAAGCAGAGGGGGGTACGTAGCAGGAAATCCTGGTATTAAAAGATTAATTTACTTATATGACATAAGAGTTTAATATAAAAAAAAATTTAAAAAAGGTTGGTGAGATACCAGCCTTTAACTTGGCTCACTTTGTACTTGGGGTATTAAAACACCATGAGAGCAGATTAATGGAGGAATTTGGGCTCGGCGATTGTCAATCCCGTGTGTTCACCAGCACAGAATTCCTGGGAGGGAGCAAAACCCTTCCTTCTGGGAGAACTGAACCAGCAGCTCCTGTGCTGCACAGCACAAACCCTGTGACTGTGCTGGTGTGGGGAAAAATGACTCCAAGCTCATTTAGGCACAGCCTGGAGGAGAAAATGTCCTGCTTTGGCTTGGGAAGCAAAGGGTGTAACAGGGACGTGGAAAGCAGTCTGGAACCAGAGCAAAAATGTAAAAGCTGCTTGGATTGATCCAAATGCACCACAACTCCTGGAGAATCCCAGAATCCCAGAATGTTTGGGTTGGGAGGGATTTTAAAGCCCATCCAGMTCTCCCCTGCTGTGACCAAGGAYACCTTCCACCTKTTCAYTCCRAGCYCCRTCCAACCTGGCCATGAAATCTCTGCCCTTTGGGCCTGGTTTTGTTTGTTTTATTTAAAATCCCCCCAATCCTTGACTYCTGAAGGTACAGTGAGGTGCCCATGTCCTTTATCCAGGGCTGTTTTGGGGTGTGAGGGGGTTTGGAGTGTGAAATTCTCTGTGTGYCCAGCCATGGCACCGTGCTGGAATCACCGTGTCCCCACAGCTGATGTTTGACATCCCTGCCAAGCWGACAGGCACCTCTGTTATGGAAATTTCCTTCTTCAAGGGGGAAAAAAAAATAACCTGTTAAGGGCTGCGAGATGATTTGTCGTTTTTCCTTTGTGAGACAATTTGTCTTCTCCTGCATCAAATCTGTTATAAAACAGGCAAGCTGTGAAAAAGGGAAATCGTCCTCGGAATATGGGGGGTGAAGGCACACAAAGAATGGTTCCCTCTGCACAGGGCACATCCCAGCAGCCTCCCAGAGCCTGCTCTGCCCAAAAAATACCCATCCCAGAGCAGCCTGGGCAGGGAATGTTTGATGGATTTCCTGGGCAAATTGGAGCAGCTAACACATCCCTGTGTTTTCTGGTTCTCCACATCTTTTATGCTTTCCTGTGAAAATGGGGTTGGGACTCAAATCA